ACGCCGTGATGTATCAATCTTCTACTGGTCACACGTCTTCATGTGATACAAATTCACCAAACTTGAACTTTGGAACACAAATTCATATAATCTTGCATTTCCTGTCTCCTGTATATGCATACATATGAATGGAACCTTAAACCTGTTACTTAGGGATAGTAAAACAAGAAAAGGACTCGTTTTACATCGGCTCTTTGTCCTTGCTCCCAATCCAGGTGGATCTAGCGGTTCTTCCAATGACAACCGAAATTACCGGTACAGCAATCGGTACTACAACAGTGCAGTTACTCACACGGACTACGAGATGCAGAGCCCACAAGTAAGCAATCGTTGCAGAGCACCACACAGCTCCTCTGTAACTTAACGAAACGACTCATGTTGATCGCCACTTCTCTCTCCAGGCTCCGTCTCAACAGCAGTTGCGCATCTGGCCAGGAGGGGACAGCAGCATGGGTCAGCTGTCCAACAGCGGCAGCGACTCCTCCTACCCGCAGCTACTGTTGCACAAGCCGGCAGCCACGCAGCACTCGCGCCACTTCCTGGGCAACATGGGGGGCATGATGGAGCCGCACCATCCCCACCCCATCTATGGCAGCCACCACAGCAACGGCAGACAGCTCCGGCAACAGCAGCAGCAGCAGAACCAGCCGCAGGGCCAGGCCTCACAGGGTCAGCAGGGCCAGGCGCTGATGCCCATCTCCTCCCCGCAGATGCAGGACAGCATCGAGCTCAGCCTCACCCACCACCACCACCTGGGTCAGTCTTCCATCATGCAGCCGCCCCCGTCGAGCTTGGACTCCAGTCAGTACGGATCCTCCAACCTCCACCTGGGCCTCTCTGCCTTTCGGACTAGGACAGTCATGGCCCCCCAGCAGCCCCCTTCCGCTTCCCAGCAACAGTTGCCCCAGGCCCCAGCCTCCCAGGACAGCATGGTCGCTGCCTCCGGTTTGGGATACATCCCTCCGTGCTACGCCGGCAGCAACAACAATAACAACCCGCCGCAGGGAAGCGTCGGAGTGGGGGGGATGCTCACCGGGGGGCCTCCGCCCAGAGGAGTCGGGGGAGCTGGGGGGCGGCCGGACTCCGAGGAGTCCGCCATGATGGCAGTGTGCGGCAGCGGGAGTGGGAGTGGTCAGAGTGCAGCCAACTCTTGATAAATCTTGAACAAATTCCAAAAGCCATACGAAAATTTTAACAACAACATAACAGTGACAAAAGCGCCACATGTACACACACGCGCGACACGTAGTAAACGTACGACACACATACATGCGCGCGCAGCCACACGTAACAGAATCGCAGAGAAAAACTTGTGAAATATCAGACAGTCGGTTTCGTTTTTTTAGTTTTGTTGTTTTGGTTTTGCATGGGGAGAAGGTCAAGGGAGGGATTTGAAACTACTTTTATCGTTATTTTTCTGTTAGTTTGTTTTTATTTCATCGAAGGAGAAGGGCGGCAGGTGAAGTAGTCGCAACAGAAGGTTTCAGAACGTTTGTTTTTACCATTCTTATATTGTTATTTGAGTTTGTGATTTCAGGACAGGTTTGCAGCGAGAGATTTTTATTGAGGAGAGGAGAGTTTTGGGTTGAAAAAAATTGAATGTTTTTGTCAACACGACAGCAGCAGGAGAAGAGTACCTTATGCTTTTTTATTTTTGGTTTGTTTAGTTTTTTTCCTGCCGTTTTGCCATAATTATATATTTTTAATTTATTAAGAATCACTACATAAGGAGAGAGACGGGAGAGGAGTTAGAAAGAGATCTAAATTGAGAGGTGGGTATTTTGTGGGTTTATTTATTCAATGTTTTATTTATACAGTTGTTTTTGTTTTTTTTGGTCAGACATGATACTTATGCATAGAAAACAACAAACAAACTGGGTTTGAGGTTTTTGTTTTCTTTCTTGGCTTCATTTTGTTGTTTTTGGTTGCGTTTTTCTAGTTGAGCATAACCCACACACACATATAAACAAACACACAGGCAAGACATACACAAACACATTTTTGTTACTTTTTTTTTTAATGTTTCCAGTCTTTTATCTCGCTTGACACACTGGCTTATATATCTCAAACTATGAAACAAATCCTACGAATGAAATAAAGCAAATGACAGAAACTGTTTTTAGTCGCCACACAGTGAGCAACACCAACTAACAACTAGAGGAGGAGGCTGAACCATGAGCCGCTTTCACGAGGAGAGGGGGTAACTCGACTTCACATAAAGGAGGAAGTGATACAGGAAAGTCTTGGAAAAACATCAAAACATTTTGCCAGAAGGAAAACCAAAATGCTTCCCTGTTGTTCGTTTCAAAAAATAGTCTGCCTCCTTCTTCTTCACCATCTCACTAGACTTTCTCTCCCCTCTCTCTTACTTTGGTTTCTGTCTCTCTCTCTCTTTTTTTCTAACCCTCTTTGTTTTGGACAGAAAACTATGAAAGCGTTAACACATTTGTATTAACTCTGGATATGCTAAGCCAAATCTTGCTGTAGCTAGCTAGCTCGCTCTCTCTCTCTCTCTCTCTCTCTCTCTCTCTCTCTTTCATATTTACCCCATGTTTCTGTTGGAAGGAAGAGTCTGGGGCGAGGAGGGCAGAATACTTCGGTACGAAGGGACACTGTCACGCCCTCCTGACTGCGGCCCCTCCCACTCTGACTTCATTTCCTGCCTCTCATTTTGCTTTCTCTCCTGTCTTTATTCTCCCCCTCCTCCCCTTCCTCCTTCACAACACTCTGTGAGTGCTGTTTGCCATCAAGTCAAAAAAGTGAACTACTTCTCTCTCGGCTGCTATCTCCACTCTCAACCATGTTCGGATTGCTGCTAAAGAAAACAGACAGATAAATAAATAAATGAATAAATAAATAAATAAAAATGAGAACTTTTTAACCCTCCTGCTTCAGAAAAATGAAAAATAAACCACTGCATCTCATGTATTTATTACTATTTAACAAAAAAAAAAAGAAAAATCTGTTTTCTGCTGTTTTTTTTGTTTGCTTTCTTTCTTGGTACAGGTTAAAGCTTGACATTTATATTATGTAACGGAAACATGGTATTAAACAAGTGCCTCGATTTATTGGTCAGCCACTGGACGGAATTGAACAGAAGAGGATTATAGGAGTTTGATCAAGGTTTATTATATGTATAGCTAAAATTCAAGCCTCATGCAACTGTAGAAATCCACGACTATTCAAACATCATGTGAGAACTTCATATTGGACGCAAGCTTCATTCAGTATGACTGACCAATACCACATATTTAATTAACTGATGACATCTTCATCCATTGTAATCTGTGTACATAGCATCCATGCATCATCCAGTTAACGTTAAAGCAATGTTAGGGTGAAATGTCATTTTCGAGGTTCATTCTAATGACTGGGATTCGAACCTGCCACCTTTGAGGCGTCAGGACCTGCAAACTACCTTACTCTGCTCAGATCAGTGATGATGACTGCTGTCCTTTATGTTCTTAATAACCAGTTAAAACCTGTAATTGGCCTCACTGGCTTCTTTACTTTGTCATTTTTTTTTCAACACCATCCTTCATGAAAACCTAATGTCTGAAGTATTATGATATCCTCGGTTTTTGGTTTCTCTATTAAAGAGAGAGTTGCCTCTGTAGGTCCTCCAATCTTGTTATGTTTAGCAGACCTTGGTCATCATATAAATGTCACACTCACCATGCACTGTCAGAAACGTGTCTGAGCACTGATAAACTGAAAATGCAGATGTTTCTGAGCTGCTTATAACAAAAATACAGATTTTTGTGTCTGTTCAGTCATTATTGAATAGAGTATAGGAAATATATCTATCTAAATAGAAAGGAGGGGTTGTGGGGGGCAGTATCCGGGACAAATTGTTGCTCTGTCACCTCCCAATAAATCTTGAAAACCCTCAGACAAAACAATACCTCTGTTGAAGTGGAGGAGCATCTAAAAGGATATTTTTCACTATTTTTTAATTGTAATAATCACAAGATCAGCTAGATTTTTTTTTTTTTACTTCCATTCCATAGGGAAAGCTAATTCAGATGCTATTGGGAACTTCCTACTGGTTTGGTAGCTATAATAGCGTATAGTCACAAGCTGGCTGATGCAATTTTTAATGGCTGTACTGCAAGTCAGAAGTTACTGGAAGTTGCACCTAAAATGTGTATTGCTGGTCTTTTATGAATCACTTGAATGAATTAGACTTACTGTTTTTAGACATTTTGTTGAAGTAGATAAGTGTATTTATGGTCTCGCAGCAAGAATCAATGTGTATGGTAAAAACAATATATATATTCTTTTAATATAAGTCAGTGAAAAAGTCTTTTCTGCCAAAACAATCGCTTCCACAATGCTGTTTAAGATCTTAAATGTGCATGCTTCTAACTAAAGTTAAAAACCATATTTTGTGTTAAATCTTAAAACGATAGCAAACTTTAGCCTAATGCAGGAACCTGAAACTGAATTTATTTTAAGTAACATCGACTGATTTTGAGAACATACTCGTCTTTAACAGCGTTCGATTTGTTTTGTTGTTGCTGTTGTTTTTTATTCGGATCATTTTAATGAATTGTTCGACTCTTTTACGACTTTTATTGATTCGGATCTTGCGGTTGTCGAATCGAACCGACTCAGTGAACCATACAATAGCAAACATGTAACAAACAAAAACAGTTTTATACGCTCATACAGGGAAGAGAAGGGGGAAAAGTATAAAACAGCCAAATAAAGTTGTTTAATGTAAATCCATATTAGGCTATAGGCAATATATGTATGAGCTAAATCTTTTTATTTTTTTTTTTTTGTTAAAAAAATTAGTTTTTTTAGTTATTTTTATAGGCCTATTTAATTATTCGCAAATAAAAAAAAATTCAATTAAAAAATAATCGATGAAACCACATAATAAACAGCAATACGTCCTTACATACTGGAACATTTCGAGAATATACGACGCCGACGCGGAATTACGTGATGACGTTATTTTTAATTTATGATTAAACGCCGTGGTTTTATTTGATTTCATCCGGTTTATTGAAATTAACTATTCGAAAGAACTGACTGTCATCAACTAAAGGAGTAATTAGTAGTCGTCACCTCATCAATCAGCAGGTGGCTGCGGCGAGTTCTTCTCAGCTGCGGTTTATTTACTTCCTCCATGTAACATTTAAGACTTGTTGTTGTCATGGAGCGTATGAGTTTGTCTTTTTGTTGTTCTTTGTACTTTCTTGGCATGCTGCACATCACCAGAGCTTACATTTATGGGACCGGGGGTCATCTAGAATACAGCAATGTCGTATCCACTGAGCAGAAAGTCCATGACACGCAGCCCATGCCAGGCGCGGTCAGGCCGTGGACAGGAGACGGGAAGAACCCTGCGGTTATGCGACCATACCCCGTTTTCCCAATGTTCCAGCATGCTCCAGTTCCTCTCGCTGACATGGAGCTGTTCAGACCTGTGCCCGGGAGGAGACGGTTACCAAACCGTTTGACTAGCCTTCTAATTCCTCAAATGAACCCTCAGCTCGTCCAAGTGTCTCCAGTGCGTAATGCTCGTGGTGTGGAGGTGTGGTGTGGTTACAGTAAGATCTCAGTGCGCATGAGTAAGAGTCTGCTGGGCTTCAGAAGTTCACCGTCTTCATTTCACCTGGGAACATGTCCTGTCTCTCGCTCAGACGAAAACTTTCTGTATTTTCATTACGACCTCAATGACTGCGATAGCTCGTTAACGGTAAGTAGTTATGTAAGATAAATCCAGTCTTAAATGTGCTTGGCAGGGGTTTATAAAATATACATTTTAATATATAAAAACAAAACGTTTATTTGACAAATTTTTTCAACCCACCATATTGTCAGATGTATAGACATGAAAAGCTGTAGATTATTTAGAAAGGAGAGTGAAATCAGAATGTAAAAATCTGAATTTTTTTTAACTTTTATTTGATTTCTACTGTGAACAAGTTAACCCTGTAAGTCATACAGTATCTGTTTGAAGAGTGCAGATGCAAAAGACTCGAAGTGCCATTTGAAATTTTATTCTAAAATGAGCATTTTTATCAGATTCCTCTATGTGTAGGTCCAGTAATTTCATAGAATAGGTTCTTTTCATTGCCATTAAAGTGAAATAACTGAAAATAAACAAAGAAGAAAAAAATGCTAATTTTAGAAGAAAATTTCAGACTGCACTAGAAGCTTTTGCATCTGAGCTCATCATTTAAAAAAACAACCATTGAAACATTTACTGAACATTTAGACAAATAAGTGTTTTTTTTGTTTGTTTTTTTGGGGGGGGGGGGGGGGTAGCATTTGATATATCAGGCTTTTTTGGCTCCTTAAAGGAGAAAAACAGCTCACTTTTATTTAGATGAAGTTGCTGATATTTATATGGCCAAAAATGAAGATACAATTTGAATAGCTTGTAACCGTATAGCAGACTATTTACATAAAATGCATATACATAGCCGTTACCACTCTATATTTCCCAATAATATATCCTAGTAAGCTGATATTTAAATGTTTAGTTATATAATCAAAAGTGGTTATTGTGAGGGGCAAAACATACAGTATAAAGCATCTTTTTTTTCTAAAAATTATGTATTGATAATCAAGTAAACCTAAGTTGCTTCATTTCACTAAATCTTTATCTTTAAATATTACTAAAATTATAAAAGATACTTACGTTTACTTTATAAAAATCAGTCACAAAGATTGTCACAGCAAAAAGACACATGTACCACAACCTGAAGGTGGACATTTTAAGATTTATACTAAAAGACCTTGATTAAAAAGTATAAATTATGAATCACACAACAGAAGGCATGTAGTAGATTGTGTACAACAGGTTTATCAGGCCTTAGAAACTTGTGTATCAAATACAATTCAGTAGGCTTTATATGGGTTGTTCATCTCGATAATTCACAAATTATTGGATACCATAATTATCAGCCATAATAGCCACTGAAACAATGAACAAAATAACTTGGTGCCCTTTCAACATGTTCATTTTGATTTTACCTACTATATAATGTTTGATCCTCAGATGATGAAAGGCCAGATCATGATTTCCAACACATTGCACTATACTCCAGCAGAGCCTCCAGGGACAGTCATCCGAGCTGTGCCCCTTACATTAAACATCCAGTGCCTATACAATAGGTAAGCCATCAATCTGGAAGGGATCAGGACTTGGAGATAAAATGCACCTCATCCATTTTTTTTCAATTTCTAGATTTCATTATTCCTACAAAATGGGCTTCCTGCCTGTGGTGAGGGAGCACATGTTTCACAAGATTTTTGAACGCAGGGCCAAGTTTAGTCTGTATGTGTGTAATGGTAAGCTTTTCCTCTCCTTCTGCATAATTTCCTGTTTTGTTTGACCCCTCATATGGTGTTGGTGCCCATCGGTCTATTAAATTGTGTGTGAACTCTAGAACGCTGGGAAAGACTGGAGGGAAATGGGAGATTTGTGCTTGACGAACCCATGTATTTTGAAGTCAGTGCCGCTTATATATCAAAGGACGAAAGAAATTTTGTTGACTCCTGCTATGTAACAGCATCAAGAGACCCAAAGTCTATTCCACAACACAATGTTATTTGTAATTATGGGTAAGTGGTTCGGAGCACTCTGCTTTTATTAACATGAATAAACTTTCGTAGGGGAGAAGAACAAATATTAACACCAAACACTGCAATTTCAGGTGTATGGAGGACAGCAGAAGACGAGCAAGTCTCTCACGCTTTCTCCAAAGACAGTCGAACATTATAAGGTTTTCAGTTGATGCCTTTTTACTCCCCCAAGTTACTGACACGGTAATGTTTTCATTCTTAAATGTGTCAATATAAAGGAGAGAACGGGGCTTGTTGTCACACTTAACTCCCGGGATTATTGGGTGAGGTTGCATTTGAAATTGGGTTTACAAAAAGTCTTGACTGCACATAACTTGAGGAATATATCATTTTTGGATGAAATATTTAACCTTTCTATAATCATTGCCCTGGGAAAAAAAAGAAAAACCTATAGTTCTAGAATAGTTATCAAAAAAATTCTAATTATCTACACTGTAAAAAAAATTCTGTAAAATGTACGGTAAAAAAACGGCAGCTGTGATTGCCGGACTTTTACCGTAAAAAATATGGTAGCAATGTTTTAGGGTTTACGGTTTTAACTTAAATTTACAGTTAAATACCGTAATTTCATTAACTGATACAATGTTAATATACCAACATATTGAAGTACTGAAATCTGTTTTGTACCTTTGTAATGCACTGATGACCACCAAATGCAGGTGGTGAGGAGAAAGTCACATGATGAACCAAAGCCCATCACAAGCAGCTTTTAAATAATATCATATATAGAAGGTGCACAGTGTCATTCACACAAACACTAAACACCATCATGGTAACAGACATGAAACTGAAATAATGCAATAAACATTCATTTAACAACATTAGGTGTAACACACAACCCTAATATACAGAACTGATAAGAAAAAACTAAGAAGAAAGTTATTTCAACAACAAAACATCAAATTTGAAATGTAACGCAGGGAATTCTGGGAATGTCAATTTACGGTTATTCACTGTAAATTATACTGTCTTTTTCACTTCCAAAAATGGTGTACTATCATAAAATTAATGTCTACTACATGTAATGTCCAATACAGTTTTTCACCGTATATAGAATTTACCGTTAACCATTTAACAGGTTTTTACTGTAGCATTTTTACAGTCTTTTACCGTTAACTTCACGGGCCTTTTTTACAGTGTAATATAAAAAGCCATCCTCCATAACATATCAGAGGATTTAATTAAATTTTCTGCCAATTGTAGACAATAACATTTGGGGGGGAAATGAAATGGAACAAAGTGAAATTTGTTTTGAAAAAATGTATGAAACTGCAAAAATGGAAAAAGTAACATACGAAATTATTAAACCCCTACAGAAATTTTTAATGTGTAGAAATTACAGTATATAAAACGCGTGACAACCTACCCCTGTCTAATATGTAGGTGTGTTGTTTATATATTTATACATATTCAAGTTTATTTGTATAGCGCTTTTCAAATTGTTGCAAAGCAACTTTACAGCAAATTAAGTTTCTACAACATTTAGTGGTATATCAGTGGTGACTGTCAGTTAATGTACATATGGCAGAAATGTACGGAAAAATCAATTCAAGATGTAATCAAACAGACGATGAACACTATTAACAGCATTATATGATGCAATCAAACTTATAGCAAAATGTGGTAGTTCATCTGAATGAATGTCTGTTGATTTCTTCATTTCCTACAGCACTTTTACCTACATTGCACAGTATCGGTTCACAGTGCCACTACAAGTGCCATAGCAAAGTCATGTACCTATAACAATGTAGAGAGAAGGTAAGTTATTGTATTTCACACATATATGCAACAGTGTGTAAATGTGGAGAAGCTGCATTCATTCTTAGTTCTTATCCTGTACCAACAGGTGGGAGGAACTCTACACCGACGCATCTGTTTGTGCATGTTGTGATTCCACATGTGAAATTGAATCATCTTGTAAGTAGAAAATATCAGAGACTATCAAATGAAATCACTATAAGTCACACATCAGTGTTTTGTTCTTGCTTCCATAACAGCTTCTTTGCCCCATATGACACAATCTATAACAAGCGAACCCTGGATTTTGGACAAAAACGAACAATCTTTAATCCAGACTATGGAAGGGTGGGTCAATGTTCAAGAGGACACAGAAGAGATGAAGTTCAAGAGTGCAGAAGGAATCGATGAAGAGGAAGAAGATGGTTACACTGTGGAGATTGTGACAGATACTGAAGAACAAATAGAAGCAAAAGAGAAACATAAAAAGATGCCCATGAATGATTTAGATGAGGCTGTAGAAGTAATTATTGGGACAGTGGAAACAACTACAGAGTTAAAGAATAAAAAGGGTGATCGTTCTAGAAATGTAATGCTTGTTAGTGAGTGGAAGAACAGGGTTGTAAAGATTGAAGAGAATGCTGGGAGACACGAGAGAACAAGTAGAACTGAAATTGTTAAACGGCCTAGTGTTCAGTTCATGGAAGAGCTTTCAGAAGATGTTAATAATAACCAAGCATCCAGCAAGAGTGGAGCACAAGAAATGATTCTCATTACCAGAGAAGAACTGTCCGAAGGTAAAATACAGCCTGAAGATTTTGAGAAGAGCATTCAAGTACAAAATACAATAGGTCCATCACAAATAGTGATGGATGAAGAGGTATTTTTAAATGCTAAACATGAATCAGTGGAGTGGAATCAAGATAAACACTAACTATCCTGATGTGGGAGAAATGGAGGACTGACGTTTGAGGTCGTTCCAGGGTCTCCAAGGTATGACAGTTTTTCATTTATAATGAATTTAGCCGTCACTTTATAATTTCAAGTGTTTATTTATTTCTGTTTTAGGTACCTTGAATGACCTTTTTTGGAGTTGCATCTGTGGGGCCAAAGATCTCTGCATACTTTATGGATTCAACTGAATTCAATATATAATAGTCACATTTTCTGTACTTGTATTGAAAAGTATGCATTCTTTATACTGTGCTAACATTCACTGTAATGTAGTCAGAATATTAAAACATTTTTGGCTGTTCATTAGGGTTTTTTTTTCTGATGACCTCTTTGATGCCTCTCACTGAATTACTTATTCTTAAAGGGATAATCTCACAGTTCATATTTTACCCTAAAATAAAAAATGCATCAAGAAAATTCGCATTACGATCTTCTAAATGTGTTCATAAATCACAGGAATAAAACCTCAAGAGAATTCCCAGACGAGATTAGACATGTGAATGAATATGGAGCACAGACACATTTGAAAATAAAGAGCAGTAAAAGATTTCGGCAATCTCTAATGTACTGTCAGATTTGATGGCCATGCGGTGTTTGTCTGTATCTGCTCACATCAGACGAAAATGCATTTTAAAATACAGATAAAAGGTTTAGACATCATTAGGGTAACAGATTTCGGTAACCTACACTGCCTTGTCCAATTTGGTGAACCTTCTGTATCGGCATCTGTTCTCATAAGACAAAAATACTTCTAAAAAACCAAGGAGGTCAGACATCAGCAGAGTGAATTTGGGTCAAATTAAAGCCATTCTGTGTAAAAAGAAAGATTGGTAATAGATTTTGGTAACTTTTAAATACTGTGCTGTTGGATTTGGAGATCCTGTTATATGTCTGTTGCTGTTCACATTAGAGTAATATGCTTTCTAGGGTATAAAACAGAGGATTTTAGACATCACCAGAGTAAATTTGAGGAGCATTAAAGCCATTCTTTATGAAATAAAGGGTAACCGATTTTGGTAACCTCAAGGTTATGCTGCCTTGTCGGATTCGGCAACTCTGCTGTATGTCTCCATGTGTTCGCAGCAGACCAAAGTGCTTTAGATTATGAGAAAACTGAGATTAGACATCACAAGAGTGAATATGGCTCCTATTAAAGCCAACAAATCTCAATAGCAACTGGATTTTATTAGTGTATTTATTTAAAGCATAAATAACAATCAGAAATGTAAAACACAAACACAAAAAAATATTGCTATAAAATAATGGTATACCCAGCAATAGAGCTTGGGAAGCTAAAAACATTATTTCTTGCAAAAGGCGTCTTGAACTTACTGAACCACTAAAAAAGATAATCAATGTATTAGATGTATATATATATATATATATATATATGAAGAAAAATTGTTTAATTTGTTTATGTTTTCATATGTCTGTTGTTAACCCAATAAATAAATAAATAAACACTTGTCACCGATTTCCGTCAGGGATCACGTCATAACGTAAAATGCGCTGAATCTTTTTGAAACCTGCTCGAAAGAACCGATTCGTGGAAATGAATCAGTATTCCATCACTAGTGAAACAGGCGACAGGTGCATTAATTACGCATTTCAGCTCTGTGAAATATGTCAAGGTTCCCAACACTGTTTGAGTAAAATAGCGACTATTGCCATTTCTTTGATGCAGTTTAGAGATATGAAGCTCTATTTCCCAGTAATATTTACTTTACTGGTCTTGTCCTCCACATATGTGTACGCCGTACGCTCTGCGTCGAAGCACGCGAGCAATTCGACCTCGGCACTGGACGGAACATTTGAAAACGATTTCGACGGATCTGCTGTGAAGAGTCTCGGCTCGCCATATTTACAACTCCCCGTTTTCCAACATTCAAGAATCCCGCTTCTGGACAAAAAGCAGTTCTCTCCGATGCATGGATCAGGCCGTGAACAACTGCCCGAGGAGACGAAAGAAGTCCTCGTCCCGCGCACCGCAGAAACGGTACCTGAGGCCTCCCGCCGCCGCGGCCGATCACAAGGAGTAACCGTCGTTTGTCAAATGAAGAAAATGATCGTTAAAGTTCACAAACACATTTTAGGCATCGACGGCCTTCATTCAGAGTTAAAACTGGGAACATGCGACATCAGCAAGACTACAAAACACTATCATGTGTTTATTTACGACATGGACAAGTGTGAAAGTAAGAGAAAGGTGTGCTTGGCTAATATCTTTTTTTCTTTAGTTTCCTATTTTTTTCCCTCTTAAATAACAAAGTGCAGTAAACTGTAATTAAAATGATTGTACCAAATGTCAGTCTGGTATTAAGCAGCATAACGCACTACGTTAAATAATAACAATAATTTGGATACGTAGCCTCTCCGTCAGAATGTAGCTTATGTCTGTTATCTATTACTTTTTAATTTGTATAATTTCAAACAATACGTTCACAATAAGGCTTTGCAAACATTATATATATCTCTCTCTCTTACAGCAAAACAATCATGAAAAATAACAAAATCTCTCTCTCTCTCTCTCTCTCTCTCTGTCTCTCTCTCTCTCTTTCTCTCTCTCTCTTTCTCTCTCTCTCTCTGTCTCTCTGTCTCTCTCTCTCTCTTTCTCTCTCTCTCTGTCTCTCTCTCTCTTTCTCTCTCTCTCTTTCTCTCTCTCTCTTTCTCTCTCTCTCTTTCTCTCTCTCTCTCTGTCTCTCT